AAGTTATATAATCCTGTTCACAAACAACTTTTGTATATTTCAAGTCATCCTCCCATAGGTATTAAGACCAAAAGTCTTCTTGAAACCAAATACTTAAGAAAAATCAATAATATATTTTAATGAGAAATGACTGCAACAACTTAAGAAAAATAGGCATGTAAGCAGTGTAAGATTGATTAAAATACTCCCCAAAATAAAATTGCATCAGAACATGCTAATGACTCCCAAAGATACAATACTATAGTCTGAAAAAAATTTAGATAATGATTGATTTATTCAAATAGATTCATTTGCATATACAGCCAAGAAACTTCCTTTCACAAGAACTAGAATAAGTTTACTTACCATGCTATCATCCATAAGACTTGTAGGACTTGTCTCATCCGAATCATTTAAATTAGCAATCATGTCAAAAATTGCAGTAGGAAGTCCAGTCTGTTAAACATTGTACAACTAAACTTAAATATGATAAAACTTCGAAGATGCAAATTTATAACATCAAAAATATTAGAACATGTTTCCTTTCAGTAGAACACAAAATATAGTTTCTATAGATCCAAATAAACAGACAACATGTACATAAAGCATTTTATACCTTGAATATCTAATATCTCATGTAGAAATGACAAACAGATTAGTATATGAGAACGTCCATTCTTCTAAGCTATTACCATAGGATATAAAACAAAACATAATGTGTTGGACTTAGAAATATCTTTATCATAGTATTTAAAGTAAGTCTGAAGTTTGTGAAAGTTCACATACTATAGCTGATATTCAGCTGCAGAGCTAAAGTAAATCGGCAGCAATTTGCTTCGTATACTGATAAGCTAAGATAGTTTCTCAATCATTTAAAAAAGCTATGGGTAAAATGTCTCTTTCCTACATTCATTGTATCTGTGTACCATCTTACCAACAAGCACCAGTAGACATTTAGAATAGCAAAGCCCTGCCATAGCTATTGAATTCAACTGCTACCTGGTTCCTTTTTTATTCTTAAGTAGTTTAATAAAATTATTTTTAGGATCAAAAGCAAGTAATTGAAACTTTAACGCCTTAAACAAATTAAATACCTCGGAACTTTGTATATGGGATACTAGTGCCATCATGCCCTGTTTTAATATTTTTTGATCACCCACTAGACGAGCTTCCATGATTTCTCGTTTTTTCCGCTCCTCCGCAAGTTGATTTTCCACTTCTATTAGTTTACACTCTACATTCTCTCGTTTATGGCGTTCTTCTTCCACCTCTTTCTGTTGTGCTTGCAGTTGCTCTTGAGTTACATGCATAGATCTCCTACTAGCTGGCTTGACTCCCGATCCTTGACTGCGGCAATATCCTGACTTTCTCCAACAAGTTTCACAAAAGTAGCATTAATAATTGGGTCCACATCAGTATCCTCTTCCACTTCTTGAGTTTGTTTGGCCACAATTTCTGTTAGCTTATCCTACAAACAATTATACGAGCTTAAACTTGCGATATTTATTTCAATCGGCACATATTCTAGGATAAAGATAAGAGTTTCGTATATATATTAAATTCAGCAGAGGCATCATTAACCCAATGTCCTAACTTCATGTGAGTCATTTTCCAAAGTTTTTGAAGATTTGGCTCTTTGCCAGTGCTTGAATCTCTCTAGCAAAACAAATTAAATTATGTTATTACAGAAAAATGATCAAAATTGCTCAAAATAAAGACATCTTACCGAATGATAAATCCACCTATCATAGGTCGGATCTATTCCCCACCTAAGTAAATCTGTCTTAACCTCATCGCGTGATTTTCTAAGCATATTATTACATTTAATGCATGGACACTAGATTTTTACACCAACCTCAGGATTAGAAAATGCAAAGTTTAAAAAACATTCCACACCATTCAAATATTCTGGTAATGTCCTATTCTTAATAAGTAGTCAATTCTTATCCATCATATACTTACCTATAATGAAATATAAAATAAAAAATGTAAAACTATATAATTAAAATTGTAAAACTATATAATTAACTTTCTTTCGTAAGTTCACTACTACATAAAGCAGGAAGTTCACAGCCTAATGATTTACTTTGGATGTAGTTAAATATTCAAGATAATTGGAACTTAAAAGGAGTGAAGAAGAATGGTGATAGACAGATAATACCAAGAATTTAAATATGTGATATGCAACATAGAGTTGCCAGTACTAATTAGTTTTAAGAACCAATAAGTAGGTTCATTCTGTTAACTCCAAAACTAATAGAAAACATGTGAAGTCCAAGTATCACATAGTCACACTTCCATAAGCTCTAGTATTACAAGTTTTGACTTATTATCTAAAATAGAAGTTAGAGAAAGTCTCTATATTAGAAAATAGTTAAAATAAAAGCATATAATTTGAACTAATAGCCACTGAAGCAAAGGAAGATGAGTAGCATCTTGAAAAAGTAATAACAAAAAAAAGATGGCAAGTGAAAAAAAGAGAATCTGAAGTTACTAAAAATTAAACAATAGATCTGCTACTACTAAAAGAAAAGAAACTCTAGATTTTAGCTTTGATAACTAAAACTAAGGAGAATAAATAGTTTCTATTTTAAGCAAAGCATGTTTGATTAACTAAAAATTTAAATTAATTCCATTAGGCATGGTAAGTTGAGCTATTTGATGACATGTTTATGTGGGACTTCTTAAACAGACTTGATATCTCTTTGTTTTTCTGCATCCTTACAAAGACATTTTAGTTCAAGATTATGGGAAAAAGCTGATATTTCCCCAAAGTTAAAAGTTGAAGAGACATATCAGCTGTGAGTTTTCCATATCTAGTGCAAACTTTTTCTTTGAAACTCTCCAGCCTCCATGACAAGCGTTTGTAACTCTTGTCTACATCACAAACATATACAATTCTTTCTTTGAACAGGACAACCATATCAAATTCTTATTCACTTGTTATTTTTCAAGCGTAGACATANCTTTCATTGTCTGCCAATGTGTTGAGGACCTTTCAGGTTAGCATGCCTAAAATTGGCTTACCACTAATAAGTTATAAACATACTTTATTTGTACACTTACATCATTGTTCTGGTGAATTATTCAAGTTCAAAAGTAATTTGGAATTTAGAATTTGATTATATATTATCTTAGCTACCTCAACATATAAGTAGGAGTTGAACCATCTACTTCAGTAGAAGCTGGTTCTTTGTTGTATGCTTTTCATAAGCTAAATTAATCAAATGAGATGTTAAAAAAAGTAAGTTTATAAATAAGAATTTGATAAGCTGATCAAGAAAGTGACCAATTTTCTAGAATTTATCAAGTGATCGAGAAGAAACAAAGTGAATTACCAGCATATGAGCAACAATTCTATCTTTTGCTAGATTAGGGACTTCCTTCCATTTCTTGACATCATGCCTAGCATGCTGGAGAACTTTGACGGAGAGCTCGGCAACAAAATCTTTAGCTCCAGGGCCTACTGCTACTGTTCTATCCGGTGGAATAATCACCTTCAACTTTCCATTGTCACTATCTTTCCGTTTCTTTTGAACTGAAAGCCCTGTTGTCTTCCCCCTTCCCTTTCTCTTTTTTCCTTCGGCAACATAGGAAGATATTTAGGTATATAGCAAATTAAATCTATACAATCAAGAGATTTTAAAGGGCTAGAATTTTAACAAATGAAATAACTTACCTGGCTGTGAATTTGAAACTACATCGGCAGCAGATTCAGTATTACTAGAAACATGCACATTTATTGTCATGATAGGCTATAACATGTTAAAAATTATATTATTGGACATTAGCCAAATGAAAAAGTGAAGGCAGCAAAATGATAAGAAAAAAAATAAGATATGTTCAGAAAAATGAGAAACAAATAAATTTACAAAGAAAAAATCACAAAAAATAAAATATAAAAGGAGTAGTAGAAAGTTGAAATTAATCATTTCGGCAGGGTGATGGATAGAAGTCGTGTGAAGAAAGCGATTGAAATAAGCAAAGTAGTCTTGTGGTATTAATGGCTGCACTTGGTTTCACAATAAACTGGGGACTCCCATTTTTCCGGATGAAACAAAGAACAGATAAAGGCACCAATCTTTATCAGATTCAGAAAAAAGTAGACAATAGCCCATATTGTAAATCATCAATCCCAAATATTCTCACTCTCACACCATTAATTCCCCAAAAAAAGAACGTCAAATAGCATGACCATGAAAAAAATTAAGAAAATTATATAGAAAACACTCACTATAACAACCAAGAAAAGATCAACGACATCTCATATTACAAAACAATTCAAGGAAATCCCAGTAAACAATCATTGACTAGTGATTAAGGTATCACAAATTAAGAAGAATGATACGATTAAACTAAATCAAAAGCAGAAAGTAATAGATATTGAGAAGAAACGAAATCAAAAGTGAGAACTCACCAGATTTTGGGTTGAACAAAGCGGAAGAGATCAAAAAATCGAACACACAGATGCAAGAACTTAGTTTAGATAATGAAAAGAGAAAACCTAGATGCAGGGGAAACTAAAATTGAGCGCTAAAAATTTGGGGAAAAGTAATAANGCGTTTGTAACTCTTGTCTACATCACAAACATATACAATTCTTTCTTTGAACAGGACAACCATATCAAATTCTTATTCACTTGTTATTTTTCAAGCGTAGACATACGTTTTTTGTAAAAATGTGTATTGTTTTATATCCTTGGCAAACCAATTACACTGTTCTATGGCCAATTTTTGCATTCACTTTGGTGCGCCTCTGAAGCTTTTGGATGTTTGACTCTTTTTGTGGTATTAGTTGCTGCACTTGGTTTCACAATAAACTGGGGACTCCCATTTTTCCGGATGAAACAAAGAACAGATAAAGGCACCCATCTTTATCAGATTCAGAAAAAAGTAGACAATAGCCCATATTGTAAATCATCAATCCCAAATATTCTCACTCTCACACCATTAATTCCCCAAAAAAAGAACGTCAAATAGCATGACCATGAAAAAAATTAAGAAAATTATATAGAAAACACTCACTATAACAACCAAGAAAAGATCAACGACATCTCATATTACAAAACAATTCAAGGAAATCCCAGTAAACAATCATTGACTAGTGATTAAGGTATCACAAATTAAGAAGAATGATACGATTAAACTAAATCAAAAGCAGAAAGTAATAGATATTGAGAAGAAACGAAATCAAAAGTGAGAACTCACCAGATTTTGGGTTGAACAAAGCGGAAGAGATCAAAAAATCGAACACACAGATGCAAGAACTTAGTTTAGATAATGAAAAGAGAAAACCTAGATGCAGGGGAAACTAAAATTGAGCGCTAAAAATTTGGGGAAAAGTAATAAAATAGGGAAATCTGTTTTGGCGCGTTTGTTTTGGCGGAAAACTAAAAGTGATTCACTAAATTTTTGGCCACAACTCAATGGAGTTGTTGAGAAAATTTTGTGTAATAGCAACAACTAATATTTGTTATTGCCAATTATTTTTATATTTTATATTTATTATATTACTCCTAAAACAAAGTAACGAGAATCTAAAATATTTGGTAACAAGAAAAACCTTGTGGTTAAAATTTTTGTGATACAACAACAATCTAATTATGGTGTTGCCATTTATTAAACTTAGCCAACAACCATATTATTGTTGTTAAAAAGTCGTTGCTAACTTATATATATTTAAAATTTATTATATTGTTTGTTAAATATGGCAACGATATTAAAGCTTTTGCTAACAAAAAAATTTTGATGGGTAAAAATTCTATGATATAGCAACAACTAAATAAAGTTGTTGTCATTTATTGTATTTTGCAACAATATTATTGTTGTTGCAAAAAAATTGTTGCTAATTCTATACTTTCTTGTAGTGTAACCATAATATGTCATTGAAATATAATCAAGCGGAAGCATAAACAATAGCTAAATCACCTAGATTTCCCCTATTATCAATGCCAAAAGAGGAAAGTTAAGAAGGTGCACGTATATTGCTAAATGAACTAGGTCTCAACGTAGTGGAATGTTATAAATAGTGATCACACGCTGTGTGGTTGTAGGAAAATTATTAAATCAATCTGGTTCTTATTCCTAGTCATTTATAAGCTTGCAATAAATGGAAGGTGAGTCCTTTTACTAGACTTATGCGAGAATAAACATCTTTCAAAAGTCAATGCTGCTGATCAAGCTGGTTCTTATACTGATCAATCTGGTTCTTAAGCTGAAGACTACACATCGGTGGGTTTGAAGTTTGAGCTGAATTGGACATGTGATTGTCATCATCAAAAAGAGGAAATTTGTTTAACTGAGCTTAAATTGATTTTGATGATTGACAAACAGTTGTCAAAAACCAAGTCTCTTGAAGATATTTATTATGCCGATATATAGGGTTGTAGATGTGTCATGCAAATATCAAAAGAATTGTGTTAGATATTGAAAAAACTAGATTACTCGAAAACGTTGATCAAAAGCCAAACATCGATTCCCAATGCAAGTCAAATTTCTTGAAGGATTTATTTCGTTAATTGGATTAAAATTAACCGTGTTGAATTAGTTGACTTTAGCCAAAGAATTTTTTGCTCCATTGACTCTTAGTCCATCAAAGTAACTTCCACGTTAGTATTTTTCTTAAGGTTTAACTGCTGTAGATTTGCGGTACCATCTGATTAAAGTGACTTATAATTATAGTTAACTGTCAGTAGTGATCTCAATTTAGTAAGTTAATCGGCTAAATAAGTTGCTATAACCAGTTAACATACGCTAACACTGTAGAAACTATTTATTATGTGAGTGTATAATAGCTAAATCTTGTTCCTTATTATATTCTTTTTGTATGCTTGGTGTCGATTTTGGTTAGTTGTTAGTAAATACTATAAACAGTATTCTCCCAATTTGGCCCCAAAATAAATAGTGAATGTACAAAAAACATCTTTAAGCAATTGTCGGATATTTCAAGAAAATATGTAGTGTACAGTGTTCTTGCATAAAAAAAAGTTCTTCCACAGTCAGGAGCAGATGGATGTGACGACATCCTCTGTGATTACATTGCTTTCTACTTTTCCTCGTGTACTTTATTTTTAGGTCTCTTACTGATGCTTATGCTGGAATCAACTGGTAGTAAAATCTTCCAAGATTATATATGTATGAAGATTAAGCTTCGTTTCATGATAATGCTCTTGCTCTTTGGTACTAACAGTAGGATGACACTTTCTTTTAAACAAATTGATGGAAAAGAGAGACAACTATTTCATGTGAACCAGTGCAGAACGCACTAATTTCTAATTTTTATGTGCTTGATTAGGGTTTTTTTTTTGTTGGCCTTGGTAGCTTTTACATTTCCTGCTTCTTCTTTGATTAAACCTAGCATCATTTACTTGTTATTTCCTTCGTCTTAATTTATGTGATAGTCTGCTCCTAAAAGAATAGAGTAATTTTTTTCTGTAAAAAAAAAAAAATAACCGGTACACAAGGTAACTCTCAAGGTCCGGGAAAGGACGCATGCCTAGAAACAATCATATGCGTGGATACTTGTTATACCACCCTTGCTGCTTGAGTTTTGGCCTTTAGCACGTAGTCCCCGACTCTGAGTGGTCGTACTTTGGTCTTCTTGTTATACTACCTTTTTGCTTGTTGTTTTTGGGCCACCATTTTTATGTGTGCCATATCTCTTTGCTCTTCGACCTCATCCAGGTCTTGTAACCTGCTTTCGTCGTTGCTTGATCCACTATTATTGGAGTACCTCAGGCTAGGCTCCCCGACCTCAACGGGTATGACTGCATCGGTGTCGTAGACCAATGAATACGACGTCTCTCCTGTGATGGTCTTTGGCGTTGTGCGGTAGGCCCATAGCACCTTCGGTAGTAGTTTTGACCATAGCCCTTTGGCGTCTTCAAGCTTTTTTTTAATATGTTCAATATTGTTTTATTGGAGGATTCCACTTGACCGTTGCCGGCAGGATAATATGGCGTGGAGAGTATCCACTTGATGTGCCATTTTTCGAAGAACTCAGTCATCTTTTTTCCGACAAACTGGGGTCCGTTGATGCAGCTGATTTCTTTGGGGATGCCGAAGAAGCATATGATGTTTTTCCAGATGAACGTGATGACTTCTTGTTCGCTTATTTGAGTGAATGCGCCTGCTTCCACCTATTTGGAAAAATAGTCAGTTAAAACCAAAAGGAAGCGTACCTCACCTCGCTTTGTTGGGAGGGGCCCTACGTTATCCATCCCCCATTTTATGAATGGCCATGGGCAGGTGACGGAGTGCAAGAGTTCCCCTACCTGGTGTATCATGGGGGCATATTTTTGGCATTGCTCACACTTCTCGACGTACTCTGCGGCCTCTTTTTTCATAGTGGGCCAGTAGTATCCTGCACTAATAAGACACCTGATGAGGGCTCAGTTACTAGTATGGGCGCCGCAGTGGCCTTCATGTACCTCTTCGAGCACTCGCCTTGTCTGATTGGGTCCAAGGCATTTGGCCAACGGGCCGCCGGATGTCCTTTTATAAAGGTCGTGGCTTATGAGACTGTATCTGGCCGCCTGTATTCGGAGCTTTTTGGCTTCTTTTTTTTTATCTTGTGGGAGTGTTCCTTCCTGTAGATATGATATGATACGATTATGCCAGTCCCAAGTTAAATTTATAGAATGTACCTCGACTTGGTCTATTGACGAGTGGAAGGGTGACCACATTCTCCTTGGTGATGTTTCTGGTTGCCGCTACCAGCTTGGCGAGACCATCTGCTTTGATGTTCAGTGCTCGGGGTATTTGGTCGAATCGACATTCGTCAAATTCTGGCAGCAGTTTGTGGATTTCGGTTTGGTACTTCTGCAACTTGTGTTCCTTAATTTGGAAAGTCCCAGTAACCTGGTTCACAACGAGTTGAGAGTCGCAGCAAAGGATGACCCGTCGAACACCATACTTGAGGGCCAATTTTAATCCTGCAATTACGGCCTCATACTCGGCCTCATTGTTAGTCATTTCAGAATATCGTACAGATTGACGAATCGCTTCTCCCATTGGGACCTCGAGCACAAGTCCCAGTCCCGATCCTGTCGCGTTGGATACACCGTCACTGTAGAGGGTCCATAGGTCGGATTGCTCAGGTGAAGTGCGAAGCGCTTCTTTCTCGAATTCAGGTAGTATTTCTGCGCTGAAATCGGCGATGAAGTCAGCGAGCACTTGCGACTTTATTGCGGTTCGCGGTTGGTATGTTATATCGTGCTCTCTCAGTTCTACGGCCCATTTGGCTAGCCAACCCGATAATTCGGGTTTATGTAGGATACTCCTGAGAGAATCACGCGGTGAGGGAAGTGGTGTCCTATCACCTGCATCATTCTCCTGATGTTGAGTATATTTGTTGTTGTCGTTGTTATTCGACATGGTAAGTTTTGATGAAAGAATTGATTAAGAAGGTAAACGATTATCAGATTCCCGGTAACGGAACCAATTTGTTTAACCAAAAATAGTAATTTCGGTCAAAGCTTTATTTTAGAAGAACTCGGGTTACTGATAATCAATATATAAAATGAATAAAAGAAATTGGCTTTGATAATAATCAGATGAACAGAAGAAAACAAAGTAAATCAGTATATTTCGGTGATATTTCGTGTCCTTACAAATGATCTATCTTCTCCTTTTATAGCTATTCTAAGTGGTACGTTTCGTTTATTCCATAATTGAGTCATTATTGACAATTAATGTCATTTAATGATATTTAATGTAACGTTACAATCAGCAATCATATTTGATTCAATACAGATTCCTTAAAGTTTCTGTATTTAATGCCCAATAGTTCGTATCTATTCCTTATTTTCTATCAGATTCATTCTCTTCCGTCATAAAGAAGTTCGAGCACCTCCCTTCCTTGCCTTTTATTTGAGTGACTGCCCATGCCTGTTGAAGCTCGTATCTCTTTGATTACTCTTCATCACTTGTTCTTCTTTAATTGGTCTACGTGTCATGACGTGTCATCTTATAATGAATTCCATATATAAACTTAATTTTTCCCAATACACCAAGTACACTCAGGGAAGAGAAACTCAGAAGCCCAATAAAGTGTGCAAAGGGAAATAAACTCGGTCGACAAGTTATTATTTGAGTTTATGAACAAGTGCATTTTACCTAGGTCTGAGCAAAGACACAAGGTGCATATTTGGATCTGGCAGCAATGGAGGTGCTGGATCAAAATAGGTTGCTGAATTTACCCTTTCTGATGATCAATCATATGGCAAGGGAAGCCGACTCAGCTAAAAAAAGCATGCATTATCTTGCAGGTTTTACTTACCCAGGTGTTCACTCACTTAAAGGTCCCTTAGGGAGAAGGGAAGATAGAAACAAAGAAGGATATATTTGAGAAACAAATGCTGAAGGAGTGTGATTGTCTCCCTAAGGAGTAAGTTCAAGAAAATCGACTGATAACTCAATTGCTCGATCGATGAACTGAAA